CAAAATTAAACCACTTAGGTCTCAGCCTATCACAATTCAACTACGTAGCTTCGCGAGACTAGACATGGAAGTGCTAAAAGAGGACGCGCGGGTTTTTCATTGGGGCCCTACGTTGTCAGCATCGACAGTCGATGAGGCGGTGTTTTCACTAAACTCCGCAATTCTAAAACTTTTTGACAATCACGCGCCAATTCGATCTGTCAAACTAGGGCACCCTCCTGCGCTGTGGATAACTGGAGCAGTCCATATTGCAATGACAAGACAAGATCGTGCGTTTAGAAAATACAAGCGCGACTGATGTGAGGGAAATTGGCTCCGTTTTAAAGCTGCAAGATATAGGTGTAATCAGATGGTAAGAGCAGCCAAACGTAAACATATTTATGAACATTCATCTCCCGTTAACACCTGGAAATTCCTAAAATCCATTGGTGTAGGTAAACCGCAAAGTTCGTACAGTATAACTTCTTCCTTCTCCTTAAACGAGCTGAATACTAACTTTGCCAAATCTGCAACTTTATGCACAAACACTTGTACCAAAGTCTAGTTCGTAGCACATTAAAGTACTGTAGTGTGGTGTGGCGGCCTCATTTCGCCGTTCATTCGTTGCGATTGGAGCGAATACAGAGGCGTTTCATGTGGTACCTTGCTTTCTCGATCGGCAAAGCCAAAAAAAGCTTTTCATATGCTGTCAGATTACGTTATTTCAAATTGATGTCCCTGGACGACCGGAGAAAATTCCTTGATTTTCTATTTCTCTTTAAAATTCTGCGTAACCACATAAATTGCCCTCAATTGCTTTCTCTTTTCAATTACCGTATCCCACCGAGATTACCCCGTCACCCCATTACACCTCTTCGTCCTCCGTTGCGGCGCACCGTCTTAGGTACAAACTCACCTGTACCCAGACTGTCCAATCTACTCAATGAAATCAGTCATCATTGTGATATACACCAAATCTCACTAAGCAAGTTTCGTGTGTTTGTTCACAACAAATTGTTAAATAAGTAGGTAGTATAAGTGGTTATGTGTTTTTTGTTTCTGTTTTCGTTTGTTTCTTTTTTACTGTTAAATGGTTAGACATTATTTATTTATTATTCTTTAATCTTAATATAGGTACTTTATTACGAGTTTTCAGTTATGGCATGAGGTGTTTACCAGTAATTAAGTGTTGCACTCAGCCTTTAAACAATGTTAATTATTTCTCTAGCTGTAGTTTTAGTGTAAGCAGTTGTTGGTGAACCAATAAATTTAAAAAAAAAAAAAAAAAACACCAAACAACAAAGTAATTCATTTATTAGAGCACTGCCCAAAATTTTAAATTCTGTTTTTATTTTCACCTCAGTAATCAGTTACTGAGGTGAAAATAAAAACAGGAAACTGGAACTGGAAAATGAGATCAGGAAACTGGTTTTGTCAAACAAATCTAATGCTGTTAGGCACGATGACGTAAGTAGAGTTATGTATGTTATGTATGTGTTATAAGTAATGTGTATTTTAGAATGTATACTCCCAATTATCACGCACGTGGTTAATATCTCGATGATGGCTGGGGCTTTTCCTTCTCTTGGGCGATATGCTCATGTAACCTCTTCCAAAATTTACTAACCCCAGTCTGCTCAAGCATTACCGTCCCATCTCAATTCTTCCTTTTCTTTCTAAAGTCTTAGAGGCTGTCGTTCACAAACAATTGTTTGTTTATGTTTACTCAAACAATATCCTTTCTCCATTTCAATCAGGTTTTCGACCAGGTCATAGTACTTCTACTGCCTTGCTAAAGACTGTTGAGGATGTAAGGAGGGGCATGGACTGTACTCTACTTACAGTGCTGGTCCTAATAGATTTCTCCAATGCATTCAACGTCGTGGATCATGACCTTCTCCTTGCCACCTTAGACCACCTAAACATCTCATCAACGGCAGCTGATTGGTTCGCGTCTTATCTCCGCGATCGCCAACAAGCGATTCGTATTGATCGCTCGTTCTCAGATTGGTGTTTACACACTTCTGGGGCACCTCAGGGTGGAAGTTTCTCTCCTCTCTTGTTTTCTATTTTCATAAATTTGATTACGTCTAGCGTCAAATGTTCTTACCACCTGTATGCCGACGACTTGCAGCTTTATAGCGAGGTTAATGTCGGTGGCTTTCATCCCGCGCAGCTAGCGCGTCTTTGTAGAGGGCCTAAGGCGAGAAGACGCGCGGGACACGTGTGTTGTCCTTTAAGTCGCAAGTTATGTCCAGACATTGTCGCAGGAGACCGGCACTAGTCCGGAGACCTAGTAGAGGATGAGCTAGACATCTTCCGGTCCCTCCAGCCGCGTAGATTTCAGAGAATTGGAGTGACGCTTTGGCATCGAGAGGTGAGCCTACAGCTCCGCCACCAAAGTGTATATTTGGTAGTTAACTTTAGAGTCGATTGTTTAGGTGTGGCAGCCGTTAGTTGCGTTCATATGCAACGGGAAGTGAGCGTGCCTACAGCCTTTTGAGAACCGGATGAAGTCTGTGCAAACGGGTTGATCTGCAGTCAAGATCAGAGGGAGAAGGTCCCTGTGCTTGCACAGGCTATAGTGCCCTTCTCGTATACCCTAAGGGTCAGTAGGGTGGATCACTATAATCAAAACTTATGTAGAAAGGAACGGGGGCTGTTAATGTTTACTACTTACCTGGATACTTTACAAATAAAAAATATGACTATCAAACATGATACTCTACTTGCCTTAATGCTTTATATTAAATAATCAGCATGACAATAACTTTGTTTCCGATGAGAATATATATTTTATTTGAGAGCAAACAAAATATGGTGTTCTCTCTGTGTGTTATATCTTATTAACAATGCTTTTGTATTTTCGAAATTGCTATTTTCAGTAAACAATTCGTAGCTCTGTCATAGAGTTGGAAAATTAAAAGGTAGTTTCAACACATTAATATTATAAAGTCGGAATTGATTTTGTGTAAATCTACAGTATCACTCTTTTCTATTGAATATAAGTTGTTGTAGATACGATGACGCCGACGACGGTGATGACAGAGAAGAAAGAAGAGAAACTTCTCTGAAAGTGACAGTGAAGAAAAGGCTTATTTATATTTATACTTTTTTTATTTTTTTCTAATTGTTCGATCTTTGTATTAATAATTACAACAAGCTAGTGGAGAAATTTCACAAAAAATAATTGAATATCATGGTGGTGAAACATCTTGACATTTAATAAAACACTTAATTGCAGCGAACAGCGACATCTCTAGCCAGGTCGCGTAGCTGTGACGGTGCTTGCCTAACTGGGTGACGAAATACTTTCATAGATTTCTCATAGATGGCGCTACGGCATATACAAAAATTCGTGACGTCCACTGGTCCGTTCCTCCGTTCCAAACTAGTGGAGTAATTTCACAAAATATAATTGAATATGATGCTGGTAAAACATCTTGGCATACAATAAAACACTTAATATATATACTTGTTTGCTTTTCTTAGCATTCGTATAAGTATAGGTAGCTGCACAAATATTTTGTAAAGAATGTCAGGCAGTATGTACTCCACGGCACTCGTACCGTATGCATTAATGATTCCAGGCAGTAGATACGAAAACAGGTACGTAAGAATGTGTATGCTGCATTTCATTGTTATTATATTATTAGATTACTGGCTGGTACCCGCGACTTTATCTGCGTAAAATAAGTACTTCGAGTAGCTTATTGTACTATACTTCAATTTCAAAGTGGACTGCACCTGCGTGCACAATCTTGAATGTTTGGCAACCAACTTAATGAAGTGTTGTGCGGGAACCGCACATCAGTAAAACACTGTGTGTGTATGGAACGCCGCATCTACGAGTAGTACGCTAGTAATAGATATCGTTGTTGAGGAGTAATCTCCACACAAACTTTCATCACCTATTTCACTCCGTTCAAGATTTATTTTTGTGACAAAAAGTAGTCTATGTCATTCTCCCAAGTTTCATCTGTTTCTACACTAAAATTGATCAAATTTGGTTCAGCGGTTTAGGCGTGAAAACGTAACAGACAGGTACTTTCGCATTTATAATATTATTCAAGATCAGTCGTCAGCAAATTGAGCGGTTTTCTGTATGAATTTTAACTTTATCTTATATTAGGTTCTTCGTGCAGTAAGGTAGTTGTGATGACATCTACTTAGTGATGTATAGTGAAGCAGGAACGGTCTTAGATAGTATCTGTATTTATTCATGGTTCAAGCAGAAGGGAATTAGTAATTCAATTACTATAAAAAGAATCTTATGCCTACTTAACATTAGGTTCTAGGTTGTGTGTGCCCTGGAGTTCATTTCGTTACTTTAGTACAAATAATATAGATCGACGTACATGTCTATACCAAAATAACTGAGGTCTCCTAAAGAGACCAGCAGGCTGATTATAATTCAAATCGGAATCGATCCGATCGGGTAGCCCATCCGAGTCTCGAAATCAGATGGGTTTGCTAGCGAGAAGATGAACCTGATTCCTACTATATCTTTCTAATTTGTGAGTTAAATCAACTATTTTTCCCACAAACCACATACATTTTGAAATGTTAAAAGTTTCCGATCGGCCGGTTGTGAATTGCAATTACGCGCCTCGACTCGGAAGAGACGCAGTTTCCGATCGGAAGAGGCAATCAAAATCAAACTGCTGGTTGAGAGTACACAGAGCAAAGAGTGTACGAAAAGAAAGCAAATGGTATAAACCAAAGAGAGAGAAGCCAGAAAGGAATGTTGAAAATTGAAATCCGTAGATTGAGCGTTTACTGTAAGTATGTATGTAATAATGGTGATTATATATTATCAACACGACGTTAATGGTGAAACACATGTTAATTCGAAGTTAAAATCTAAACGGTTAGGTAATACGTAGATTCATATAACTTACACCAAGCTCAAAGTTGAGGTAAGTTTCGTGGAAGTACATAGTGAGTCTAGTAGTTTACCAAACTTTAAAATGAAATTTTTTTTTCCCGTAACTCAAAATAAAACGATATATAATTATTTTGCTACAGACGTTTATTATAGTTATTTTGGTTTTGCAGTGTTTATTTTGCCATCTCAATCATGAAAGATTAATCTTTACTTCAGGTATCTAAAGCATCTTCATTTAATGTATAGACTGAAATAAAAAAAAGCAAATTAAAAATAATCTCAGTACAGAGTACTAAAAAAACCGACCTCAAAAGTACGTGGAATTACATCAATTTGCCAAGTTTTTTTGAAAGTGCGCAAACCCGAATTCATCCCTCAATTCGCCACTATACGAAACTTGACATAGGCGATAATAAAAATCGGTTCTCACTACTCAAAGTATATGGTGAGAGAAAAACGTCTTGAATTAGATAATAGCAAAATCAACCATTAAAATAATTGCTTCTTGTAATAAGATTTAGGCGCTATTTATAAAAATGAATCTTCATACGTGAACAGCCACTCTTAGCGGTGGATGATTTTCTTTAAAATTAAATGGGACCACTATGGCGGTACCCTCTTTCCAACAAAAAAAGAATCATGAAAATCGGTGCACTAATACTGGAGTTATCGCGTAACATACATACAAAAAAACATACAGTCGAATTTCTCAATTCGACCTCCTCATTTTTTTTTGAAGTCGGTTAAAAATATTTAAATTTTCTGTCCAATTTTCTGTCGAACGTACGAACCACTTCATTCAATCATCAAGTTACTTTTGACATCTCTAGCTAGCAATGCAGTATTATCTCGTATAAACATGTTCAAACAATGTGCTTAGATACTTACTTGTGGTCCTCTATGTATAGCAAGCATCATGTCTAACTCATCATCAGCTATTGAGATGTGAGCTCGGCCATCGTTGCCCACGATGATGGTCTTGCCTGTGCATGAATTTCCACTTCTCGACCCCGAGATTACATCACAGTATCTACCAGGGAAGAGACCAGTCTGAAAGACAACATTTTGTTAGTAAACGACGATACTATAAAAATAATCAAGTACAAGTTAAGTAATTATACATTGTAATTGTACATTATATAAAATAACAATACCAACAGAGCAACTCACCATAGCGTGCGGAAGTAACAACCTATAAGAAGGACGGTATACCATTCTTACCATCATAGCAACAGAATGGTTCTTACAAATCTGATATTACAGACTACCTACTTGGAGAGTCTGGTTAAGATTCCATCCATCGTTATTGAAAGCGATGAAAGCAAAATGACCTCGGCTGAAAGCGATTTGATTGCTGCCGTTGTCCCACCAGTTATCAACGCCTTGATTAGCGGCGACGTTCCTGAAGGCAACCATTGGGAAGATCTGCGGCCAGCGGTGTTCGCACACCCAGCCGTTACCACAACTGTTATCCTAGATGAAGAAAAACATCTTATGTTAATCTTCAAACAAAAAAAAAAAAATTCTTCTGTATTTGTTAACTGGAATATTTAGACATTTAAATTTAATCATGTCATAATAAGGTACTTCTGAGATACCTTCTATCCAGCAAAAAAATTATCATCAAAATCGGTTCACAAATGGCCGGAGTTGTCGCGTAACATACGTACAAAAAACATACAGTCGAATTGAGAACCTCCTCCTTTTTTGAAGTCGGTTAAAACATATTTCGAGAGGATATTTTTGTATAACTGAATTATCTGACGTCTAGAATAAATGCTAAATAAAATTTTGATATCTTGAAGCTATCCCAAGTAAAAACTATCGATTACTCACAGGGTTAATTGAAGGGGAAATGATGTAGTTATTGCTGTTCTGCGGGGGTCCAGCTTCAGTGTCGTTGAACGCGTAGCTACTCATTACCTGGACTTGACCGTAAGGATGAGCCAACATAAATGCCGTAGCTGCCCTATACTGCCTAGCCTGTTTGTAGGTAAGGATGTCACCACCAGTACCGTAGCCTCTCTGGTTTTCATGATTGTCTATGAAAACATGAGCAATATCGGAAGGAAGAAGATTCCATTGCGGCCCCCAGTTGCGTAACCACCTCAATTGGGTTCTACCTAGGAAGGCTCTGCTGAGCTCCATACCAAACGTGAACTCAGCGACAGGAGCAAGAGGAGTGTATTCATTCCGAGATACAGCTTCATTTCCATTGTCAATTACTTCCTGGTAAATATAAGGACGAGCGCCAGCGGGGAAGCCATATTCAGTGTTGAGATCATGGAGATTGTCGTAGATGTACCGTAGGTCATGGGGCCACATGTGTTTGGCGGAATAAATTCTATAAAAGAACACAAGATTTAGTTGCAATATTATATCAGAAACACAATTATAATCAAATAACTACACAAGAGTACTAACCTGAAGCCAGCAACGCCAAGGTTGATCAGGCGGTTCATATACCCAACGATTTCAAAACGTACATGTGCACTACTTTGATTCAAATCTCTCTTATTGTTTAACTGGCAGGTGCGCACCTGGGGAAAAATTCAATCGAATAACGATTTGTAGCATTTTATATCTTACCTCATTACCATCAATAAAATGAACGTGGTTTATTCAATTAAACTTTTAAACTGAGAGGTATTTTTCTGATTCCATGAACAAAATATAATTAGTGATAGTTTTTGGCCTCTTAGTGTCATCCGAAGTCTGTAGCTGTCTTTACTTACCAAAATTTACATTAAAGAATGTATTAATTAAAATTATTATTAACAATCGTTTATGACGGCCTTCTCACAAAATTGGGAAATACGCACAATTTCACATTATTTCCTACATCTCTATTAGTGGTACCCAATCTTGGAACTCGTGCCCAGCTGTGGGACGAAAAGTATTGATAAGGAAAGAGAGGCTAGCTTTGGGAGATATAGGATACTTTGACTTACTCTCTCTGGACAACAGTCATAGTCGCTGGGTTGAATAACACAAGGAAAGTTGAAATGTTCACGTCGGTACGGGACACTGGGGTAGAGCCAGGTGTTTTCATGAACAGTGCCACCACCAGTACCAAAAGTCTCTGTCGGACCCCACGTTTGAGTCATGTGATTGATCACTGTGTCAACGTAGATCCTGCAACATAGTTCTGTATTCATGCATCTTTTAATCTGTTTTTATTCATATTTTAGCACGAATTTTTTACTTGCTTGAAAGTGAGATAAGTCAAAGTCAAATAATATATTCCATAGGTAAAATATTACACGTGAAAATGCTATATAAGCATGAGCAAGAAACGCATAAACACGAGCAAGAAACGCTAGGGATTGCTCTTTTCAAATATTTAAATGCTATGGAATACACTTTAAATCATATTTGTGTGGAACCAACACTCATGTCGTCTTTCCATACATCTGTACCTAACACATAGTCTTTCTTTATTATTATGACTTTGTCGTTTACCTTATTTAAACGAAATCATGAGTTTGGACTTAATTCTGAGGTTAATATCATAGATATCTTCTTTCTTAAAAAAAAAAACATTAATGATAGCAAATTTCCACTTTAGAAACGATGCAATTATTCTTATAGACTATATAGTATCTTAAATGATGATATTTACACGTTGATTACTCTACTAGAACCTATAGGTAAATACAAAGAATAATCATACCTGACACCGACGTTGTTGCAGCGTCGGACCATGCTGGTAAATTGGTCCTCATTACCTGAGCGGGTAATCAGTCGGTATGAAATCGCCTCGTAGCGCTCGAACCAGGGTCGATTGCGAGAACGAATCACTAAGTTTTCATTAGGTGGAGATATCTGTTAGGTAGATTGAACATTCGTTTTAATTATTGACGACGTCCTCGACGATCTTGACGACCTTCGTGATCGACTGGTTTGCACATCGGTTTTCATGGTGTCTCCATCTCTGAGGTCCCGGGTTCGATCTCTAGCCGGGTCAATGTAGAAAACTAACTTTTCTATATTGACTCGGATCTGGGTGTTTTTGGTACCTACCGTCTTTGTTTTCGATTTTCATTACACAAGTGTTTTAGTTACTTACTTTATTTTGTCTATTATTTATTTATTTAATAATTATGGAGTTCTTAAGTTTTTGATAAAGATTCATGTAGCCTATCTCACTAAAACGAAGAAGTAACTTAATTATCTTTTTAGAGATAAGGCTCGGGTGGCCACGTAAGTTTTAACAACTCGATACATACATATCATCGTCCTTGTCCTCGAATGAGACAGGCAGAAAAGGACTTCCATTTGCCACGTTCCTGATACACATCTTTCACTTTCATCAGTCTTTTCATATACACTCGTTTAATCAGACACCTTCACGTAGGTTTTTTGAAGACCTTCCTAAATCATTATATATCATATTACTTATTAATTACCAGAACACCACCAAATCCATTAAAACCCAAGAAGCGTTCGCACTCAGCTGCGATGTCGACCCACTTCCATTCAAAGAGATGGACCATGGTGGAACGGCCTGCCGCGTAGTGAGGGTTGCGATACGCCACGGCCAAGGCCACCGCCATTAGGAGGAGGATGAGTCGAAGCATCCTGACAATTTGAGGCCTCAAATAATTCCAAGGTTTTCTTTTGTAAAAATCGTAGAATAAAAACTTCTGAATATAAAAAACGTCATAAAACTGTGATGTATTTATAATAAATCTGTGTCTAATAAATTTATTTCTTATAATAACGGTACGAATAAGTCGTGCGCCTGGTGATAAGTGACATGCCTATCCACAACAGTTGCCGTGTCACTTAGAGCTTTAAATCGCAAAGATCTTAAGCGCATTGCCACTGCGCCCGTCACCCTGAGACATAAGTTGACAAGTCCCATGTGCCTGTAATTTCACCAGCACCCTTAACCGTTCCAAACCGGTACGCAATAAGGAACACTTTACCGCTTAGCGGCAGAAACTTCCCTGGACGAACTCTTTCACAAGGAATTCTACTGCTACTACTGCTACTATAATATTGAATATAAACCCTTCATATCTTTCCTCTGGGGTTTGAAGTAAAATCATTTAAGAATTTCAAAAGACACCTTTGCATACATATTTTAATTTCTAACATGTAATTTATTGTACTATACGGCTCTATGTAGGTATGAAGGCGTACCAAAAGACTTACCTGGAGTCCCAAAACTATACCACTGTGTCAAAACAACTGGTTAAAGCCACCCATCGCGATTCTTTTTTATACAGGAAGATAAGCTAAATAGATCACAGATATACATAAATATCTAAGAGATTTACCGATATAAGAATACATAATGTGAAATGAAATAAGTATCAATACTTTCTATCTTCGGCGCCAGTAGTGTGTCTTATCATCTTAAAATTTTGTTGCGGAGTAATTGAGATGCTTTGAACAATAAAGTCATCCTTATGAAACTAAGAAATTTACACAATCGCACCTTTCATTCCAACTGGAATGCAACCTGGTAGTATTGATATTCTTCCTAACCGGCGCAGGATTGCCGTCTAAATTCATTGGAGCTTTGTACTGTCATTACTTTTGACAGATATTTTAGAAAATTAGTGGAGCTGTAAGGAAACACACCGGAGACGATCATTTAAACTGATCTACACACACCAAAAGAGTCTAGAGATCATGGTATTTTTTATTACATTTAAAAATTTGTTACTTGGATCTTAAGGTGATTAACACACTGCACCGCGGCGGAGCGCGGAGCTGCGTTTTTTAACGTTGTACTGAAGTAACTCAGTTTGTATGGAAAACACGCGCCTTCCAACACACTGACAACGCTTCTTCGTGCGATTTCCATGAACCAAGGACATGTTCAGTTTTCTGCAATGGATCTCGACTTCGATAAATTTATATTTGCTATTGAAAATCGACCAAATTTATCTTCATATTTTCTTAAATCTTTGTTATGAAGTTGAAATGATCCATTTATCGATCTGGTTCATAAAAAGGGATGTATCCAATATCTTCGGTGTCTTTTTATTTGAGTAAACAAAAACCAAATAGTCAGTATAACTGCAGCGTCCTTTATGAGTTCTGTATTATTAATCGTTTCTTGTCAAAGAAGGATCTCAGCTACATGTACAATCACTACGGCGATCAACTACGAAGCGAGTACTTTCAATGGCGCGGGGCCGATAGACCGCTGCCTGATTAAACCGCGCGTTGACGCAGATCTGCGTCTCCGCTACCGCGCGCGTGATTCCACCTCCCACTATGTTAATCACCTAAAACATCATCATCATCAGATATATAAGTTAATGGGGGACCATACATGTATAATGTTATCATTTTCTATAGTATTTATGACATCATGTGCCGACGACGAACATAGTGTGGGTTTTGTCATGACGTTTTGTAGCATGATCAATAGGTAGGGACAGTCAGTGCCCACATAGGTATCCACTATTTTTATAGCACTTACCTACACAAAAATAGTGAGTGAGGGCACCGACCATACTATAACATACAAAAACTGTCTTAAAGTCATAAATCATGACAATCTATTATACTCCACACAAGATGCAAATACTGCATATGAGATACATTGCACGAAATTGTACACATTTTCTATGACTCAAGTCGATTTAAAAATTAAAAATGAACACTAGAATGAGACCAAAATGATTAACAAATGGTATAAACAATTATAGCAAACAAGAAATAATGTTATATTGGTTGAGTACAAAAACTAAAGACAAACAATTATGTAGCACTATAAAAATGTTAAATTTTTTTATAAATATTAAATTTAAAGTAATATACTTGTGCATTCCAAAAATACAAAATAATAAATAGGTATGTCGGTAGCCGATATGTATGAGTGTATAATCGTAAAGGGAGACGTTAGTTGAGGGAAAGTCCCTCGTCACTGATTTTGTCAGGAATTATTTGATAAATGACGTCAAGTTCAGTTAATTATATTTAAATCATTTATCCACTTTTCGCGGTAATTAGTTTGATTATTCGTCTTTTGTGCTTATAAAAGATGAATCAGGTTAAAACAGATTAAATGCAACTCTACAAATTTACAGAGAGCGACCGCTATAACATATTTTCCAAGTCCCTCACATATAAAAGTTCATCTTGTCAATTCGCGTTCGCTTATAAAAGCATTAACCATCACTCCTTATTTTCATGTGGCAAGACTGCCATCGAACGTTATGTCGTAGGACACGTCAGACGATTAGTTAGTAAATCATTTCTCTAATATAATTAGAAAAAAAACACGTAATTATTAACTAACAGTTATCCCCTTGCAAAGCACATTACGTAAACAACAAACTGAGTTTCGTTATACCACGCTTGAAATTACAACTGGCTCCGACAAGTATACAAATAATGCAAGGAATATTACAAAAACTTCATGGCAAATAATTAGTAAACAAATATATTATATTATGAAAGAGAAGCATATTTCAAAAATAGCCCATAAAATATTGTATAAAAACCTAGAGATATAGCTAGCAAATTTGATGACCCATTTGTAGATTTGATAAAAACTCGATAATAGTAATAATGACAATAAATATGATACCAATAACTCAACAATGTGTAATAGAAAACACGAAAATAGTAAATAGTGTAGAATATGAATAGGATATATTTTTAGGGTGTACACATATGAATAGGAATGGCCATGATACAAAATTTAGCAGTAGTAGAGCTTTTTTTCAAAGAATTCGTCTAGACTGCCACTTTATCTACTGTGCCGCCAAGCAGTAATGTGAGCATTACTGCGTTCCAGCTTTGAAGGGTAAGGCACAGGGTGACGAGAGCCGTAGCAGTGCCCCTCAGATCTAAAAAAGCTCTGAATGGCACTGGAAATCCTATCGACAGCCGTGTAGCTTACCATCAGGAGCATGACCTGTTCGTACCATCGCTTGGTATCATTAATAAAGCAAAAAAAGATCTAAATTATCAATCATAGTAATCAGATATTGCTACAAAGAATTAACGGGTCCTTTATGTTACATATTTAACATGTGCCTGTCTCATGTTAGATTGATGATCTTTGGACATATTTTGGGCTTGTAGCTAAAGTTCTCGAATTCGTTCTTTCATTGTTTCCATATCCATGTATTGAGATTGTAATTATTATCTTCTTTAAATACGTCCACATTTTCCACTTTTATTTTCTGCTTGTTAAATGTTGTATTATGCATAATAAATTTTTGTTGCGCGACCGGCAAATGTCGTAGGCGCAACTCTTCGTTTACTTGGAACGATGTAATTTTGATAATCATCAGCATTGAAACGTCCATAATGTACTTTTGAACTTCTGAAAGCTGAAATGTACGATAAATTGTATTCGGACGTGGTATATGTAGCTAAGTCGTTTAAGTACCGTATACCATTTCATACTCTTGTAATCCGTTTTATTTCAGAATATGCCTTTGCATTTTTATAGTTCCAACGTTATTTATAATCTAATTTTAACTTCAAATGAAACACACCGGAGACATCTTTCAAACTGAACTGAACTTTAACTTTAGTCCAAAATTATATATAACAGAAATTGAACTGTAACCTTAGTCCAAAATTCATAATAGCGTTGAGCCTGCATCTGTACCATTTCATATTATAAAATCAAAAATATTATTTAAATTTAATACAGACTCTGAAACGATCAGCTTAATTAGTCATTTAATCCTTTAACGATACTTTCAAACAATTCCGATTGGTCATCGTAATTCATGTTGATCATATACATGATAATAGTAATGTACCTGATCGTAGGTTTAATAGCATTTTATTTGCGTCTTCGTGCATGATTACTGATTAATCAATTAGATTTCCGCGTCTATGGTAATAACAATCTGTTAGATTGTTTAGATTATTTAATTTACTAAATTTGGATGCATCATTTTATTGATTTGTTGAATTATCAACTAAACTAATAAAAGTGACATATTTATTTCTGGTGATAAGCGACACACGTATCCACAACAATAGTGCGTCATTTTCGTGTATACAATCGTTTGGAGTATAAAAACTTAACAGTGCACTTCAAGCAGTCAATAAAATCACCATCTATAAGTTAACAGCTCGAGACCAATTTAATGAGCCAAATACGATAGTTCTACTGTAAGTAATTAAGGTTGTCCTGGTTGTAGCACCACAAAGTTTCGATGTTATTGTAACGTCATCGGATTTTCATAGTATATCAAATTACAAGTCAATCGGACAAGTCAAAGTAAAATAAATATTCATCCTATAATTGTTGGGGCCTTACACTATTTGGGAAAAGGGTTGATGATCTTCAAAAGAGCTGAACCGATGTCCAACAAACATAAGTAAGAACCATCTTGCACCATAATGTAAATTAGCCAATTCCAGCGGTTTGAGAGTTACGATGACATAGCAGGGGTTTCCAAACTTATTTATACTGCCCACTTTGAGAATAAATTATATTTTAGCGCCCCTACTTAAAAACCATTATAACTTGAAATTAAATTAATTATTGTGAGCTATATTAGCGGAGATTAAACATTTATTCTAAACGAGACTTTTACTATAACCCGCAAGTGTTAACTTGAGACCTGAACGCGGTAGGTAGTAC